GGTTCCACCGATCAGGAGGTGGAGAAGGAGGAAGAGGAGTGTTTTCGTCGCTGACCGAGCACAAGAAGAGAGAAGAGAGTTTGTTGCACCGGCTGACCAGATTCTTTTTCAGTGTTTTCGTCGATCCAACTGTATGATTACATCGACTAACGTCTCGCTAACTACGAGAACGGAATTGTGCATGGTGCGTCGATGGCGTGCGTCCACGCATCGATCCAGCCGGCAGCAGATCTTGTCAACGCCGCAGCCGCACCTCGGTCAACGAGGAGGCCTCGCCTAACATGCTCCTGCTCGATCGCCGACGCTCCGGCTGCACCTCGCGGATGAAACTGAATGGTGCGCATCCTGCCGTTATCTCGTCGGTGGTCTGCTCCTCGGCGTCGTCTGTGCCTCTGTTCTCTGTTTGATCAGTGCAGTTTCACCAGTCTGTGCAACGACGAACGTGTAAAATTCTCGACGACAGTACGTCTCGAACAAGGATCTCTCAGCTGCTGCCCGAAAGTATCGCCGTTTTCTTATCCGATCGTCGTTCGAATCGTCCGAAATCTCCCACTGAATACTGATCGTGATTAAGATCGTGAAACGCGAGCGTTCAAATGCTAGTCCAACAACTACATTCTTTTTACGATGTCGACTCTCTAGTTACTCGCTGACGTAAAACTGGTTAAAAGCTGTCGCGTTGCTTCTCGAAATCCGAGAAGATTCGCCCTCTTCTTCATCACAAGTTGTTGACGATCCCCGGATAATTAAAAGGTGCGCCCGAGGACCTGCTCCCGATCGTTGTCATTCCCGTATCTCGATGATCTATCTTCTGTGCGTGCGTGCGAGAGACAGTTGTCTCGCGTGTCTTCTCCGTTGCTGTTGTTTCGTTACAATCGGTCTCGACCTAGCGAGAAGATGAAGGGGACTTTCGTCAAGTGGGCTTTGGGCGACGCAAGGATCCACCGAGTTTGTTGGGAAACTGACTAGTTGAAAGCGGTCTGGTTCTCTCCGAGTCGGTGGCATTTTTCGAACGAAATCGGTGATTCGTGCTGTTCTCGAGCGTCCGAAAACGCGTCCGTGGGAAGCAAAATCGGCGCCGCTAACGAGTCGGCCGGACAGAAATTTATGACACGGCGAATCCCGATGCGGCGGAAGGCAGTTCGATAAATAACCTAAGTCGCGAGAGGCGGTTGAGAACGATGACGAGAAGCGAGTGCGAGTGCCGCGAAGAGGAGGATCGAACACGTGGCCTGTGCATCTTTCTCGTTCCGCCACTGCGCTCGGCTTTAACGAAGCGATCCCTATCGGCCAGCGAGAATCTGATAATTAAATCGAGCGCGGCCGATATTAATTGAATCACTTCGCTCGGACCCGATTCGCAAACACGCTCGTCCCTCATGACTTGTTTCCACTGTCCGATCGTCCCCTGCCGATTTCCATCGTCCGTCGCCCGGCGTGCTTTGAATCTCCTTGCCGGTCGAAACGTCTTTTAGGCTCGCAGCTCGTTTAATTGGCCTGGACATCGTTAACGATGAGACTTTTGCCACCATTTGCCTTCCACTCGACTCCTCGACTTCTCTCTCTCTCTCTCTCTCTCTCTCTCTCGAGGCTCGATCTCGGGCCCTGGCGGTTCGAGTCGAGTCCCAGCTGTCGCGGTGTAGTGCTTGTTAGAATGGCTTGTCGATATTCGGCTCGTCAAGTAACTGTGCTTCGTCGGAGCACGCCGCGCTCTCCGAGTGGCTCACGAGCTGTCAGTGTTTCGACGACTGGAATATTCGCTGGATCCGGTTTCGTTTCGAAGTTCTTTCGCGCTAGCTGCCGACGATTTTCGTTTAGCGGATCCAGCTTTCACCAGCTGGTCCCAAGATGGTTTCTTTCTTTCTTTTTTTTCTTTTCTTTTCTTTCAGACGAGTTCCTTTCCTTTCCTTCGCGATTTGTCCTGTTTCGTTACCGATTCGCGACGTTTCTCATTCACGAGTCCATCGTCCATCGTTATATTAAGTCGTCGCGTTGAGAGCGCGTGAAAGTTTCGTGAGATGTTCGTGAATCCCCGAATCGGTTGTCGGTTGTCCCTTCGATAAGATCGAGGAACTGCTGATCGAGCACGGGGAATCGCGCGATAGCGGGTGTCCGCACCAGCCCGACGTTTCGAGGCGCCGCGAGGATAAATTCGTACACGAGTGACCGGAGTGAAAGATCACGGGAAGATCGGCACGATCAGATAAGAATCGGCACTCGGTACTCGGGGGCTGTGATGGGTCCGTGACGACGAAAAGAGTCTTTGGAAATGCGTGTCGAGGCCGAGGCAGCCTCGTGGGAGGGGCCAAGCGATTCCTCTCCGGCGTCGCGAGGGTCCGGCCGCGTCGCGCCTCTCCGCAAACCGGCCGATTTCTCTTTCGCAACCCCCCTTTTATTTTTTTTTTTTTTTTTTTTTTTTTTCTCTCCAGGGACTCGACCGACACTCAGCCGCTCTTAACTTTTACGTTTTCCCCGCTTTTAACTTCAACTGTTTGACCGTTGCGATTCAGATTCAGATTCACAAAGAAATCCTCGTCTTGTTATCTTAATTTCGTAATTAACGTAATAAACAGATCGCGATGGTAACTAATTAAGCGGATTAACCGATCCGCCGGTGGTTAACAAACGACAACGACGTTTCGTCCAGCGACGAGCAGGTTTGAAAGTCGAGATGAAACGCGCGCGAGCACACCGGATCGGATCCCGTTGCCGAGGGTTATAACAGTGATTACGATAATCACGTGGCGCGCTCGATCCACCGCTACCATTAATCCGGCATAACTGATTGCGATTGCGCAATCGACCGCGATAACGCGATAATGTCGGCTAATGGCGCGCCGGCCGCGGTAATACGCGTAAACCGATACTTAACGCGTAAACGCGAGCGTGGCTCCGGCCAGAAACGTGGAATCGAATCGTGGCGGCTAAGTATAAGTTGAGAAATTGCGATAATCGGCTGTCGGAGGCAGACCGGGCATCAAGAAGCTGGTATTACGTATCAGTTAGCATCGTTGTTCACCGACGACACTTGTTGCAATCGATACAGCTAAACCGGGGATTATCGAAAACTTTCCAACCTATTGATAGAGATTGACCAACGATTTTTGCAGAATGTTCGTTAGTACACAGTTCTCGGAAATCGCGACAATGCGACTGGCGAGAATTCGTCTCGCAACCGAACGGTGGAAAAGACGAGAAGTTGCGAACAATTTCTTTTCGGGATTACGTGGACGTAGGATTCACGTGGTGGAAAGAGGATGGACCGAGGCCCCGGAGGATAATTAAAAATGTACATAATAATCGAGGGAGCGGGGGCGAGCAAAGACGCGCGATTACGTGGGCGTTTATTTAGTGTGCACCGATCGCGATCGCGTTCGCGCTCGGGCTTCGATAATTTCGGGTGTTAATTAAACGTCGTCGTCTTCGTGGTGCGTGGGTGCGTGGCAAACGAACGTTCGAGAACGTTCCAGCGAATGTTTTTCTTTGTCAACTTTCACTGTCGCTCGCAGCGACTTCTGGTGCGCGCCGGGCGTGTTTTAATGCTCGCGCCGATGATGGTTATTAAGCCGCCGGTCGACGAAAAGTAACGTCCGCCCGGTGGCGAAACTCGTATCGCCAGCTTCCTCTGCCACCGCGCGCGCGCGCGCGCGCGCGTGTATCTGCCCACTGCGATTGCGCGCGGCGCATCGCATCGCTCGCCGGGCATCGATGTCTCCGGCCGTGCCGCATCGCGTCGCGTCGCGTCGGCCAACCGAGCCACCACTTTCCTTCCTTTTTCTTTTTCTTCGCAAATTTATACCGTTGATAAAAGTTGATAATCGAAAGAGGTCGCGATCGACATCGAGTTCACGTCGAGGTGATGAATCGAGCTGTTTGCGTATTGTCCAATTTCTCCTCGAGCTTCTAAAGATCCGCTACTAAATTATTTTCACATCAAAGACAATGAACGTATAAGAAGGAAATTAGAAAAAGACCAAGTAACTCTAATAAATAATAATATCTTATATTAACACATTGTTGATCGGTTAACTCGTGTTTGCACTTGCATTAGGTATTTCAATTATTGATACTCGGGATAATATTGTGAAATCTGTCTGCGTTGTGTTCAACCGTGTTCAACCGCTTTATTATAAAAAAAAATATATATATATACTTTTATTGATATTTCATCGTAATTTTAGTGTTGCAAGAATCAATCGATCGTGACGGATCAAAAGAACTTTTCAATGAATTATATATACAGACGCTTTATCCGATTGTCCGAGTGATTTTTGAAATATATTGTAGTGATGTGGAAATTGATAGTTTGTCGAAAGACAGTTATGAATCGGATAAAATTGCAAATTTGCAAAACTTGTGTACCACACGTAGGTGATTGTTACACAGTTTATCGCACCAAAGAAAAATCACTAAAATATATTATAATTATAAAATGTAATATATATATGATAGATAAATTTTTATTTAAATTCATTCTGTATAAATATATTGAAGTTTATTTAGACTGTGTACACTTTTATTTATGAGATAGCTGTGTGAAATTACCGGTCAATAATGTGTTAATATTTATTCTAAATAACTTGCTCTATACGTCATCACGAAATGGCCACCGCTGCTCTAGGAGATACTTTTTGAACGATTTTACGAGTTTACATTCTCCATACAGGATCGTTGACTTCGTTGAATCGCCGATTTTCCCAACGACGAAGAAAGGATTTCCCGCGCGAGATTTTTTTGCAAGTGCTTTCACTCGCCGCGATTTTTCTGAACGAGCCAGCCGCGTTCGAACAGGCGAACAAACAGTGCCTACCTCTCACGTTTTCGAAAGTTCCAGCGACGCGGTTTCCCAGCCCCGGCCGATAATTCACCGTAATTTCGCGGCGTGCAACGGCGAAACACCGCCCACGCGTCCGACACCGAATCAACGAAGGAAACCGACGTAGCCGAGCAATCAGACGAAGAGAGAGAGAGAGAGAGAGAGAGAG